CCTGCCTAGAATCCCCCAGTGAGGGGCTGGGGTGTGGCTCAGTGGTAGAGCCCCTGCCTAGAATCCCCCAGTGAGGGGCTGAGGTGTGACTCAGTGGTAGAGCCCCTGCCTAGCATGTGGGGGCCCTGAGTATAACCCCTGGCACCACCACAGAGTAATACTAAAAACAAACAATCCTTCACACTGGGTGTGGTGGCTTACATTTGTAATCCTAACGCTTGGGAGGTGGAGGAGAAAAATCACAAATTGGATGCCACCCTAGCTTACATAGGAGACCCTGTCTCAAGAAGAAAGGAATAAATGCAGGTGTGGTGACCCACACCTTTCACCCCCATCATTCAGGTGTCTGTGAGTTCAAGGCTAGCCTGGTCTACCTAGAGAGTTCCAGGTCAGCCAGGGCTACATAGTGAGACACCTTCTCAAAACAAAACAAATAAACAAGAAAACCCTCTTCACGACATGGTTGGCACTAGAGACCTAAAGACTCACCCCAAGGTTGGTCCCTGAAGTGCTGGGGACTGGCTGGTGTTGCTGGTGTGAGGAACTCTGGGGCAGAATGTCCTGCCAGGGTGTGAAGGGGCCCAGCGTAGCAGCGCCTGTTCTGGACAGGGCCGCTGGATTCTGCGATGTCTCAGCCGTAGCCTGGGGCGGGGTAGCACCGCTGGGTGGCTCCCCGCATGGCCTCCAGACGGGGTGGGAATCTGGCCATGAAACATCAGCCACTTGCCAACAGCCTTGTGCAGGTGACTGGCTATTAAAACAACCCTCTCCCGGCCAGCCGAGCAGGAGCTGTTCGCAGGGCGGGTATCCATCTCCTCTGGGCTCTCGGAGAGGTGCATGCATTCCTTTGGTAGTTTAGTCCACTCCACCTATGTAATCCCACGGCGGTGTCAAGTTCTCTCAGGGCTGGGCCAGACGTCCCTGGAAGAGCAGTGAGACTGTGAAGATGAACGCCTGTGAGGAAGAGCTGGCTTGTGCCATCAAGGCCAGTGTTTAAGTTTTTTGTTTATTTTTATTTTTTTTTAGATAGGGTCTCACTAGGTCACTCTGGCTGCCCTGAAACTTGCTATGTAGACCAGGCTGGCCTCGAACTCACTGAGGTCTACCTGCCTCTGCCTCTGCCTCCTGAGTGCTGGGATTAAAGGTGTGCACCATCATACTTGGCTCAATTTTTAAAATATATATATTTTATTTGTGTGTGTGTGTGTGTGTGTGTGTGTGTGTGTGTGTGTGTGTGTGTGTGTGCAAGTGCTTGTGGGTACCCAAAGATACCATAGAGGACTGGATCCCTGGATCTGGAGTTATAGGCAGTTGTGAGCCGCTGATGTAGGTGCTGGGAACCAAACCTGGGTCGTCTTGGAAGAGCTGCAAACATTCTTAACTGCGAGCCGTCTTTCCAGCATCCCTTCCTGGATTACTATCATTCTGCAGGAGAGGGGGTGTGGGTGATACCCCGGGGTGTGGGTGATGTCCTGGGGTGCGGGTGATGCCCCGGGGTACATGTGGAGGTCAGAGGCCAACTCTGTGGAGCCTGGTCCCCCCTTTCATTTCTCTGTGGGTCCCCAGGATCAAGCCCAGACTTCCTAGCTTTGGCCGCAAGTGTCTTTACCGGCTGAGCCATCCTGTCTACACTCCACAGCCAGCAAGAGCTGCACACCATGGGTTTTACAAGTGCTGCGCTGGGCTGTGCTGGGCTGTGCTGCTTTGGAAACTTTGGTTGCTCTTAAGGCTCTCCATTTTCTTGCCCCATCCCTCTGAAGGGACTAGGGAGGAGGGAAGAGCCACCAGACACTAGAGCATGCTTAACTTCTGCCTGCCATCATTCTACTGGCTTGAGACTCCGGGGGAAGAGAGACGTGTTTAGTTGTCTGTGAAGAAAGCTACTGATTTACTTTATATGCTGGTATATTTTAAACCAAAATTGAAGTTTATTTCTTTGTTTTGTGTGTGCGGCAGTGAGTGGAGGTCAGAGGACACAACTTTTGGGAGTTTAGTTATCTCATTCTACCATGAAGGTCCTGGTGACCAAACTCAGGTGACAGGCTTGATAGCAAGCATCTTCACCCAAGGAGCCATGTCACGGTGTCTCTGTTGGTGTTGGGACAATTCAGGCAGCTAGGGATGTAAATTTCCCTCAGGTCATTGGCAACGCCTGCATGAATCTAGAACAATGATTGGAAACAAGTCTCCAGGCTGAAGTGATGGCTCAGTGGTCAAGAACACAGGCTGCTCCTGCAGAGGACCCGGGTTCGATTCCCAGCATCCACATGGTGACTCACAATCCTCTGTAACCTTAGTGCCAGGTAATCAACCCTCTCTTCCGACTTCTTCAGGTACCAGGCACGCGCGTAGGCGCGCGCGCGCACACACTCACACACACACACACACACACACATGCAGGCATAACACTCACACACATAAAACAAATATTTTTAAAAATTTTAAAGAAGGCTGTGTTATTTCCTATAGGGAAGGGGGAAAAAGGCATTACCAGGCAGATAGCCCATATACCTGTCACTCTAGTAATTGAGAAAAGACCGTGCCTCCCGAGTGCTGGGATTAAAGGCGTGCGCCACCACCGCCCGACAAGATCCTATTTCAAACACACACACACACACACACACACACACACACACACACACACACACACACACAAATTTCCAGTGCAAAAAATAGAACTCCTTTACCTGGGAATCTGCTGGAACTTTCGCTGGATAGTACACTCATTTTTGGTGCATAAAGGTCTCCGTTTTCGTGTGTGTGTGTGTGTGTGTGTGTGTGTAATTTTGTGTTTTTGAGAACCTTAAACTTTGTGTATCTGAGAACGATCTTGAACTCCTGATCTTCCTGCTTCCATCTCTCGAGTGCTGGCCTCAAAATCACAGTCGTTCTCATGCTTCGGGCGCCGGCCGCCAAGCCCGCCCTACCCCGTTCTCCCTCCCATTCACTGCTTTGTAGAGATTGCAAAGGCATACTCACGCCCCCGTGTGGCGGTGGCGGGAATCGCCGCTGCCTTTGCAAAAGCCTCCACAGCAAGGCACAGGGCACCAGGATCCCAAAGCCTGGGGACCCTTTCCCAAGGCTAGCTGATCCTTGAGCCCCGTGAGAATGCACTCACCTGAAAAATGAAAATCCCTTACTTGTGTTCGCCGGTGAGTGTGTGGGTGGGGTGCGCACAAGTGCCGCATGCGTGGAGGTCAAGGTCAGAGGACAGCTTGCTGGAGGGAGCCGCGTCTCTCCTCCCATGTGGAAACATCCCAGGTCCGCTGTCTCAGCAAACACCAGTGATCCATGGAGACCAGGACAGGTGCTGGGACGAGTTGGTGGGATGGGGTAGGGGTGAGGTTAACTCTCTCCAATCCCAAGGAAGGAGGTTAAACCCCTCCTGGTCTACAGGGCCCTGCGCTCCTGTCTAGTGCAATTTCAAAAGTTGCTCCACGCCGGGCGGTGGTGGCACATGCCTTTAATCCCAGCACTCGGGAGGCAGAGCCAGGCGGATCTCTGTGAGTTCGAGGCCAAGTGAGTCCCAGGAAAGGCACGAAGCTACACAGAGAAACCCTGTCTTGAAAAACCAAAAAAAAAAAAAAAAAAAAAAAAAAA